GACCTTTACTTAAAATTTCTAAGTGCCTTCTCATCCCCTACAGGAGACAGTCCTAACTCCTCAGGATGTCCCAAAAGATCAACTTGGGTCCAGCCCTGCCTTCCTCCCCATCAGCAGCCCCTTTGTGCTCCAGCAACACTGCACTCCTGGTCACTCCTCACTCCTGGGGCTCTTTCTCATTTCTGTGTCTTTGGTTATGCAGCCCCCTCTGCCTGGGATGATTACCCACTCCCCTTCATTGGGCAGATTGACATTCCTCCATTCCAGTGGTGTGCTGGTGAATATTTAACAACTGCCATCTCCAAGTCAAAAAAAGCCCTGATCTGGAGCACTTGATGATTTCTGTGATATAAACACTCCCAGGATGGCCCATGTCTTTTTTTTTTTTAACATCTTTATTGGGGTATAATTGCTTTATAATGGTGTGTTAGTGTCTGCTTTATAACAAAGTGAATCAGTTATACATATACATATGTTCCCATATGTCTTCCCTCTTGCGTCTCCCTCCCTCCCACCCTCCCTATCCCACCCCTCCAGGCGGTCACAAAGCACCGAGCTGATCTCCCTGTGCCATGCGGCTGCTTCCCACTAGCTATCTACCTTACGTTTGTTAGTGTATATATGTCCATGACTCTCTCTCGCCCTGTCACAGCTCACCCTTCCCCCTCCCCATAGCCTCAAGTCCGTTCTCCAGTAGGTCTGTGTCTTTATTCCTGTCTTACCCCTAGGTTCTTCATGACATTTTTTTTTCTTAAATTCCATATATATGTGTTAGCATATGATATTTGTCTTTTTCTTTCTGACTTACTTCACTCTGTATGACAGGCTCTAGGTCTATCCATCTCATTACAAATAGCTCAATTTCGTTTCTTTTTATGGCTGAGTAATATTCCATTGTATATATGTGCCACATCTTCTTTATCCATTCATCCGATGATGGGCACTTAGGTTGTTTCCATCTCCAGGCTATTGTAAATAGAGCTGCAATGAACATTTTGGTACATGACTCTTTTTCAATTATGGTTTTCTCAGGGTATATGCCCAGTAGTGGGATTGCTGGGTCGTATGGTAGTTCTATTTGTAGTTTTTTAAGGAACCTCCATACTGTTCTCCATAGTGGCTGAACCAATTCACATTCCCACCAGCAGTGCAAGAGTGTTCCCTTTTCTCCACACCCTCTCCAGCATTTATTGTTTCTAGATTTTTTGATGATGGCAGGATGGCCCATTTCAAGCTACCAAGAAAGTCACTGAATCAGAGTTGGGAAGAGATGTGCACAATTGCGAGCCAGCGCCAGCACACCACGGACCTTGGCTCACCTCCTCCAGGAGGTCTGGCCCCTGCCTCCTCTGGGCTGCCACATCAGCGTGGGCATTCTCCCTGGCCTGCACTTCCTTCCTTGTTTGGTAGTTTTCTTTTCACATTCCTGTCTCTAGATCGTGGCTCTCGGCACATTTCTGCCTTCTACGTAGTACACACTTAGTAATCGTTTGCTGGATAAAGGAGGGTACCCATTTTCTGGACCCATGCCTGTTCTGGGTCACGTTCTGTCCGTGAGCACGTGTGCAGATGATGGGTTGCTGAAAGGACAGTGACTTAGATGGATGCCAAATGAGGATTCAGGAAGAACACGGCAGGCTATTTCAAGGGCCCTGATCCAACAAGTTGAAAATCCAGAGGAGAATAGAGACCCCTAAAAACCACTGCATAAGCGCAGACTTGGGATAATGAGGCTTGACTACAGCACAGGAGAAAAGACTTGGCGTCTGAGTGAGTCATGTTCTGACCAGCAGGCTGCTGGACTCTGTTAATGGGATTATGATGTTCAGAGAGAAGGAAGGGAGGGAGGGAGAAAAGGAGGGAGGGAGAAAGGAAGCAGGCAGTAAACTTCCTCCAGTGCCTTCAACACAATTGGATCTTGGAGATGTAATCCCAGAAGGATACAAAGTTTCTAAACTGAGTCAACTCACTTTCCAAACTTTAAATGACTTCAGGGACTAAAATGGTCCCGAAGAACAGACTGGAATTTAAATGATTTTCTAAGGGCGATGGCCAGTTCTTTGGAGATTGCACCCTGAACACAGGAGACAGGTGGAGGGCAGAGGACTGGCTGGACCCTTCACCTGTCACACATTCCGAACCCTCACCCTGATGTTTCCTACTTGGTATCGCTATTTCTGACATGTGACCTCTTCCCAACTCTTAGGAAGCGGATCCTTCTTGCTCACCATGTCTCTTATAAAGGTAAGCACAGGATTTGATCACACCAAAAGTTTCGTTCGTGCGGCTGCATTTTGGCCGTCAGATTGATTGTAATGGAATGGAGTTGAAAAGGGGAGGTGGAAAGCCCTTTCACTGATATGATGTTATTCTCACAGAGTCAGATAGACCCATCAAACCTCAAATGTCTCTGAGGTCCTCTGCCCTCACCCCACTTTGTGCTGAGGGGAAAGGTCTCGCCTGGGACCCCGCAGTCCTAACCTTCTTCTCACACAGTTGTCTCTTCTTGATTGAGACTGGTGTGTGGGGTGGTGCTGTTTCTTGTTTTGTGGTTAAGAATCCAAAGTCCAGCGACAATAATGAGCCACGATTCTGGATCTCGTGGTGATGACATGGCGGGAATATCTTCTTCACAGGATCCAGGTTTTGGGGAGAGGCTGGAGGGCTGGCTGACGTAGAGTGAAACCCCAGCCTGGGACTCATTTACTGCCCCAGCACACACATCCACCTAGCAGGGCGGCACGTGAGCCACCCTCAAGCTGGGGGCCGTTCTCAGTGCTGACCAGCCTTTGTAGTCAGTTCCTGGCTGGCACATTTGCCCGTGTGAGAGATATATCTGTTTTAAGGCCCTGGGAGAAAAAGGGAGATGGACTCTTGTTTATCTTCATGCTGAAGCCAAGCTATTTCTAGACACTTGGAGGGCTGTCTGTGGAAGAGGGATTAATGTTGCAAAGGAGCAGATTTTGGCTCAGCATCAAAGGGGAACTACTTCAAAGTGCAGTGAGCCTTGCCAGGAAGTACAGCACCCCACATCATTCAGGGAGCCAAATGCAGGCCAGAGGACTGTGAGGAATGCAGCAAGGAGCTTTCCACATTGGAAAGGGAGCAGATTGCGAAATAGATCCTAAGGCCTGTTGTCAGTAGCATCAGAGCGATTGTTTGGGTTGATAAGGATGAGGATGATATAATCACTTGTGTGTGTGACTATTTGCATGACTATTTCCTCTACTAGATTTTGAGCTCTTTGAGGTTACGGGCTGTGACTGTCTTTGCTGTGATCCCAGCACCTAGAATTATGCCTGGCTCAGCACAGATGCTCAATAAATATGTCAACCTGAATTGAATTATTGTGGCACTGACTTGGGCACAACTACAATGCTGAGCACCACCAGAGGAGTGTCTCAGAGCTCCCCAGGCAGGAAGTGCCCCCGTATAATTGAGGCAGGGGCTGGATGACTGAGAGCACTTGAAGAGATGGAGATCTGGGAAGTTCATGAATACTTTCGATACAGAGCAAATAAAACCAAATGCCCAACATCCTCAGTGTCACCTACAGTTTTTCACTGGTCCAGAATAAATCCTAGTTTGGGGAGCTCTTAGAAGTCTGAGGAGAGATTCAAGCTTCCCAGAAAGAAGTCCTGACCGAGCAGGACTCAGGGCTCTGTGAACAGTCTTAGGGAAAAGCCAGTGCCTCTGGTGAGGCAGATGGAGAATGAAGAAAAGAAGGGACATTCAGTCAAACTCTCTTCAACTTGGCCACAGTGCACAAGAGGCTCACTTGAACCCCAAATGTACAAAAGGATCAACCGGAGGTTAAGACATTGGCACTGTGTCTGGGTTAATTCTCTCAACAGGAAACACCAGGGAAGAGGAACTGCAGGCTCCCACCTCCCCCTAAGAGAAGAGGCTTGATTTCCTTTTTTTTCCTCTTGGTTTTCATTTCTGTAGTCTTGTCTCCTGCATGCCTTATTCTTTTTCAATGTGTGCTGGATGTTGTATTTGCAAAATTACTTGTAGACATGATTTAGAGACTGGGTGATATTGCCTTCCTTCAAGGTAGATTTATGTTTTGTTTTGTTTTTTGTTTTTATTTTTTCCGTACACGGGTTTCTCACTGTTGTGGCCTCTCCCGTTGCGGAGCACAGGCTCCGGACGCGCAGGCTCAGCGGCCATGGCTCACGGGCCCAGCCGCTCCGCGTCACGTGGGATCTTCCCGGACCAGGGCACGAACCCGCGTCCCCTGCATTGGCGGACTCTCAACCACTGTGCCTTCCTTCAAGGTAGATTTATGTTTGCTTCTGTTAGGTATTTGGGAGCATCAAAAATTTGGGACCACCTCAATCCAATTTCAGGGCTTGATTTGAAGCTGAGCTATAGCACTTGTAAATGCATGTTTCTTTCTGATTCACTCATTCCTGTGGTGCTGCCCTTTGGGTTCCCTACCAAAGGGAGGAGGTTTAGTTAGGAGCCCTTCACAGTGGGCCTTGCACTTCAAAACCTGTTCCCACCTCCAGGAGGCTATGCGTAGTGCTTCTTGGCCTCTCAGTGGCCACCTCCAGAAGCTGCAAATGCCCTAGTTGAAACATAGCCTCAAATGCTGGATATACTTCTTTGAATTCCTTTTTTCCCCCAGAGTTATGACCCTATGATTCTATGTTGTATTATTTACCTCGCCAGTGCTTTACACAGATATTTTAAATCATTTGCCCAGTTTTCTGTGCTCTAGAGCCTGTGAGCCACAACTGCTGAGCCCTGTGCCACAACTACTGAAGCCCACGCACCTAAAGCCCATGCTTCGCAACAAGAGGAGCCACTGCAATGAGAAGCCCGTGCACCACAACAAAGAGTAACCCCCACTCGCCGCAACCAGAGGAAGCCTGCGTGCAGCAACAAAGACCCAAGGCAGCCAAAAAAAATTAAAATAAATAAATAAATAAATTTATTTTAAAAAAATCATTTGCCCAGTTTTAAAAATTGTCACCTGCGGATGAGTTAATCCACATTAACTCTTCATTCTTACTGAAAACAAGTTAAATACTGATCTCTACTATATTTTTTCTAGAGTCCCTTAGACATGACAGAATTTTCAGAGCTATTCTCCAGTAGCTCAGCAGGGTGAAGATTTTTGCCCTGCTGCCCAGGCACTTTTGGAGTCAGAGAGTGCTGAGATTGACCTCAGAGACTTCCTTCAGGTGATAGATCGGAGGCACCAGGGACAGGTCCAGTCAGACCTCCCCCCTGGTGGGGTTCATTCTCCTGGGCCTCTCAGCCCACCCAAGGCTGGAGAAAACGTTCTTTGTGCTCATCCTGCTCATGTATCTGGTGACCCTGCTGGGCAACGGGGTCCTCATCCTGGTGACCATCCTGGACTCCCGCCTACACAAGCCCATGTACTTCTTCCTGAGGAACCTCTCCTTCCTGGACATCTGCTACACAACCTCCTCAGTCCCTCTCATCCTTGACAGCTTCTTGACCCCCAGAAAAACCGTCTCTTACTCAACATGTTTTGGGCAAATGTTTCTCTCCTTTACCATGGGAGCCACAGAGTGTGTGCTTCTGGGCATGATGGCGTTTGATCGCTATATGGCCATCTGCAACCCCCTGAGGTACCCCATGGTCATGAGCAAGGCTGCCTACGTGCCCATGGCTGCTGGCTCCTGGGCAGCTGGTATCACCAACTCTGTAGTTCAGACATCCCAGGCTGTGAAGCTGCCCTTCTGTGGGGACAATGTCATCAACCACTTCACCTGTGAGATCCTGGCTGTCCTGAAGTTGGCCTGTGCTGACATCTCCATCAATGTGATCAGCATGGTTGTGGCCAATGTGATCTTCCTGGGCATCCCAGTTCTGTTCATCTTTTTCTCCTGTGTGTTCATCATCGCTACCATCCTGAGGATCCCCTCAGCAGAGGGGAGGAAAAAGGCCTTCTCCACCTGCTCTGCCCACCTCACAGTTGTGCTTATCTTCTATGGGACCATCCTCTTCATGTATGGGAAGTCCGAATCCAAGGACCCCCTGGGGGCAGACAAACAGGACCTTGCAGACAAGCTCACCTCCCTCTTCTATGGGGTGGTGACCCCCATGTTCACCCCATCATCTACAGCCTGAGGAACAAGGGTGTGCAGGCTGCTGTGAGGGACCTGGTTCATGAGAAACGCCTAACTGAGTGACCGTCACAGATTCTCAGACTGCCAGAGTGCAAGGCCTCCAAACTCCTCCTTGTCCTCGTGGGGGAGTGGTAACCCAGGGAGGTCCTTCGGTTGCCCGTGGCAACAAGAGCCTTTTCATTTCTGGTGCTGCTGGTTAGTTTGTTGGCTTCACCCAGAGCCATACTATATCATATCGTAGCCTATTTTGCTGCCGAAGTCTGAAAGCCTCTGATACAAGAATTTGATGAATACCCATAAAAAAGTTATAAATATAGTCAAAAGAGACAAACAGAAATTTTGGTGGTACTGAGACTTTCGAGTATTTTGTTTTTCTCTCTGTAGAACTGTTACCAAAAGTGGGGTCCAGCTACTTGCTGCTCAAAAGCCAATAAAGAGGCAAAGGTAGTGGAAAGGAAAGATTGCTTTATTTTGGAGGCCGGCAACTGGGGTTGGGGTGGGTGGCAGACTCCTGTTCGAAGGCCGATTCCCCCTCCACTGACAATCAGTGGGCAAGAGCTTTTATAGGCAGAGGGAGGGGCTACATGCCGAAACAGCACAGTCAGCTCTGACAGTAGTCTTGAAATTGGTCATGCGGTGGTCTGATCAGCGTCATCTTGATTGTTTTAAGTGCAGTTAGTCTTCAGCTCCAGGGTCAGTTTGTTGCCATTTCTTTTGAGGCCAGTTCAGGGAACTGTGGCAGCTTACATCATGGCTACAGCCTAGTCATCATGTAGTTAACTTCTTCCACCTGGTGGGGGCTTTAGTATCTACAAAACAGCTCACAGGATATGGCTCCGAATATCATCTATAGCTCTTGAGCAGGAACTAGAGGCCCTTGACTTTGTTTAATGACTAAACTATTATTTTGTCCTTTGCTTCTGCGTTTTTTCATTTCTCTGATTAAATTTATTTTTTGACTGAAGTTTTTTTTTTTTTACAGATAAAAGGCAGGTGGAGGACATGGGGGAAGGACCATAGGGTCCAGCTCCATTTCAGAACTATTGCTTCCCCTGTTCTGCTTTGGTCTCATCCCGGAGACCTTGGTTCCATCTGATAAATTGGAAAATGACAACTGCCTCAACATACAATAGTGCTCGTTAGCACCATGGCAGACATTCCTCTCGTATGTTAGCACTAGACATAGTGAGGCTTATCTTGAGCTGCCCTTTGTTTTGATCTGATGGACAGTAAGAATATTGTCATGTGCCATGTTCTCCTCTTTGTCGTCACTGCAGGGAAGTCAGAGGCAAGTGTGCCACTCCGCCGCGGCAGAAGTAGAGTGCCGCAGGACAGGGGGCCTGCAGCTCCTACACTAGTGTCCATGCAACCCACATGGCTCATGGATGCCAGTTACATCCAGCACACGCTTCATGAGTATGCCCACACTGAGATGAAACCCCAGAAAGACTGTGGGAAAGCAAATGCAGAAATGTTCTCAACCCTACAACTAATGAGAGCAGCAGTGATGGTCACCCCTTACCTTCTGTGGCACAGGCAAGATGGGCTGTGAGGCCAGTGCCGCTCCCAGAGCTCTATGTCCATGATTTTCTCCCAAGCTCAAGGAACATATTAAAACAGAAGTGAGATTTACTGTATTATAGTGATGATTTTTAATCCACTTTACATTTTTAAAAGTCAGCGATTGCCAAATTTTGGTCCTTTGAGTTTTGTGAGTATGTAACACATTGTTTCCTCTCTTTCTTTCCTCCCTCTTCCCTCCTGTCCCTTAAAGCAGATCCAGGTCCTTGCCTCAGATATGTTTTTGTAGGTGGAAGTACAGTGGAACCATATGGGGGATGGTCCAGAGAACTAAAACAGAATGCCAGAGCTGGCATTCAACAGTTCCCTTCACTTTCTTAAAAGCCTAAGCCCATTAAAGAAACTCATTTAGATGTCCTGAAGTGGAAGGGAAAGATCATCTGTGAGATGAAGGAGGAGAGATTCCTAGAGGCGGGGAGGTGTGGAGGTGTGGAGGTTGGCAGATCCTACTCTGGGTGGGACACATCCCTACACTAAGGCAGTGTCCTAGGGTCTCAGAGAGAGTGGCTGCTTAATGCTCGCACGGAGGACAGCCAACACCAAGCTTTTCGAAGATGTCGGTCTCCCCTCACCAGTGCATGCCTTATTGCCTTAGTGGGGGGTGGCCTCTGTATTTTCCCAGGGTGGTGGGTTCTTTGCCGTCCCCTCAGAAGCCCTTTTTATCATTCACACTCCCTGAACCTTCTCATTTCTTCCTCCACACGCTGCCAAGGCGGCGTCAGCCTCCTCCCCTCATTTAATGTGGACCACTGTCACATCCCAGCTTCATGAACCCAGCGTCCTGCACGTTAGAAGAGCTCCGGCATTCTTGCTGAGTCTTCAGTCCAGAGTCAAGGAGAGCATGTCCACATCAAGACACTGTCCCCATGTAGCCGATATGCCCACACCCTGCTCTCCACTCCAGCACCCTCCAGGTCCACACAGATTCCCCAGGTCCTAGCATCCTTTTGCGGAGTCGCTGTTTCCTCTCAGAGCAGGAACTGTACTGAGGGGAGTCCAGGCTTTATCATGAGAAGAGTATCTGCCTCAGATGAGATCCCTGCACGGTCTCCAGGCAAGCAGAGGCTGCTCTGTGGCAGCACCAGGGAGGGGACTCAGGGGCTGATTCTGTGGGTCTGGAGGGTTCAGAGGAATCTGAGGGCTCTAGATTCTCAGGAGCATCCACCCAGATACCCTGATCCCAGGATGCAGGGTCCCACTTTCCCTGTCAAGCCCCCAACTTTAGCATTGGAAACCTGGCAAGGCTGCACAGTCTCCTTTGTAGCTCTGCCATTTTTACAGTCAAGTCCTAGCCCTGCCTTGTAGCACAATCTGCCTTGTGGGTGCAGGAGATGAGAATCTCTTTGAAAATTGCCATGGATGCCTTCTGGCTTTCATAGCACGCTCTGTGTTTACACTTAGCTTACCTGAGCCTATTTTTCTTCAAGTCTTTTTTTTTTTTTTTAGTTTAAAACATTTTTATTATTATTTCTTTATTGGAGTATAATTACTTTACAATGGTGTGTTAGTTTCTGCTTTATAACAGAGTGAATCAGTTATACATATACATATGTTCCCATATCTCTTGCGTCTCCCTCCCTCCCACCCTCCCTGTCCCACCCCTCCAGGCGGTCACAAAGCACTGAGCTGATCTCCCTGTGCTATGCGGCTGCTTCCCACTAGCTATCTACCTTACGTTTGGTAGTGTATATATGTCCATGCCTTTCTCTAGCTTTGTTTTATAAGGTAGTTAACAAAAGAGGGTCAATTTTACCACCCTTAAAAATACCTCATATTTTCAAAGTACTAGAGCTACTGAATAACTCATGCATCCCCTTCAACCTGTAAAACATTTCAGCCCCCTGCAGGTGAATGTCTGAATGAGTATGATGCTACAACAGGCCAGGGGTTATCGCCACTTCACTTACCAACAGAAATGGGGTCCTTGTTGCCATCTGAGTGGTGAGGGCATGTTTTCTAGGGCTACTCCTGGTAGCAGTTGTCTTGGTTGTGTTCCCCCCAAAGCAGAGCCTGAGGCAAGGACTTGGGAGCAGGCAGTTTATTTTGGAGGTGATCTCAGGAAGCTGGCATGAGGGAACAGGAGGAGTGAGATGTGAAAGGAGGAAAAGCCAATATAAGGGTGCATTATTAAGGTGGTGCTATGTGCTACAGGGGATCAGTTCTGCTGGAGGGACCCAAAGAGCATGAAGAATGCCTCTCAGAATTGTCTGCGTGAAGGATGGGAGGCTGGTGACTTTATCCCCAGCTACCTTCCCCTACTGGTTGATAGTTCCTCCAAGGTTGTGTCAGTTGTGTATTGACATGTAGCAAATCACCACAATTTAGCAGCTTAAATCAATGCCCATTTATTAGCTCACAGTTCTGTATGTCGGAAATCCAGCATGGCATGACTCGGTTCTTAGGGTATCAAATGGCTGAAATCAAAGTGTCAGCTGGAGTAAGTTCTCATCTGGAGGCTCTGAGGAAAAGTCCACTTTCAAGCTCATTTATGTTGCAAAGTTCAGTTTTTTGCAGCTACAGTACTGAGGTCCCCATTTCCTTGCTACGTGGCTCCTTCCATCTTCATGTCAGTAATGGTGCATCAAATCCTTTCAGTGCTTTGAACTCTGACTTCCATTTCTGTCACTAGCTAGAGAAAAACTCTCTGCTTTTAAAGGATTCATGATTAGGTCAGGCCCACCTGGATAATCTCCCTATGTTAAGGCCAACTATGTCATGTAGTATAACCCAATCATGGGAGTAAAAGCCGTCATTTTTACAGTCCTGGGGATTATGCAGGGTGTGCACACCAGGGGGAGAGAAAACTTGGGGGCAGCTTCGAATCCTGCCTACCACAGTTGTAACCCCTGTTCTTCTGGACTACACACAGGTGGCTTCCATAGCATTGGAGAAGGCCTGGGGCAGAGAAGCAGAACGACGGATGGTGTTTGAGGTGGGATACTGTTAGCTCAAGGTGAGTCTAACGTGCACAAACTGTCCACCTGAAATCATAGGTGGACTGAGAGATTGGGAAGTGAGATACCGTAGCATTTGCTAATTATGGATAGACCTGTTGAGCCAAGCTCATGTCACATCTTAGAGATGTCATAGAGCCTGCCCTATCCACATTTCCTCTAAAGGGATCTGTTCCAGCTTCAGCCCAGTGACACTACCAGTTATCCTGCAGCCGCAGTTCATTGGACCAGAGCAACTGATCCAAGAGGAGATAACCTATAAATTTGAGGGTAATATATCTGACTGAAGCAAAAGGACGAACTGGGCTAATTAGATTGATCTTTGGGGAACTTGGAATTGGGAAACAGGGAGACTACATCAGTTTAGTGAGACTCAAATCAGAAAGGACCCACCAGAGATTCCATGAGGTAAGGTTGATGTTATAGCAGTGGGGTGGGATGAAAAAGCTCTGAGTTAGCAGATGAAGCCCATGTAGAAAGTGTCAGGACTTCCCTGGTGGTCCATTGGTTGAGACTCTGCGCTCCCAATGCAGGGGCCCGGGTTCGATCCCTGGTCAGGGAGTGAGGTCTCGCATG